GAGTAGGGGAGGGAGATCATTGTTTGCGTTTCTTAACTACAAGATTATTTTGGACTGGTTTTCGGATAACCACTTTGGGTTGAATTTGCGTGTTAGCGGGAGGTAATGAAGGAAATAATGACAGGTTTTTTGACAATTGTAGAAAAAAATGATTTTGCAAATCGGGCCGCACCGATCGATTCTTTAAAGCGCGAACTTTTTTTATGCTTCTATTTCACCAAAATGAATGATTTTTATTAATTCGGCTGCCAAGAGCATTCCTTTTTTTCTACAGTCCGTTGATTTGCAGAAATTAACGGGACAATTATTGGAAAAGATTGATTTAGGGTTAAACTATAAAAAAATTGGAAACGCTCTTGTAGTCCCCCAGGTTGAAAAACAAAGCATTCCTTTTTTTACTTGTTTATATAATTAATCAATGACTATGAAACCTATACGGTGATCGAGTTTTTCATATTGTTTTGTTATCAAAAAAAGTTGCTGAATACGGATTTTCAAAAAGACCGAATGAATTTTACTTGATGATAACAAACTGTTAATTTTAGAGATTAATGTTTCATATTTTTCCGTAAAAAAAACAATAACAATTGATAATGAACCTGACCAACTGTATCTTATAGAAAATTCTAAACAGGTTCATTTCTATTGATTCTTTCCCTCAGTGCAATAGTTAACAAGATATTCGAAGTCAAATGCGAAAAAACACGATATTCTCTCATTTTTTCTTCGTTTTTTGTTAATAACAATATGTTCCGGGCGTTTCCCGCCAGGGGGACTATGGTTTTACGATTCACCGGATTTTTTACATAGGACACGCTTGGTTTCGTTGAGTGAAATTACAACATCCAGTTTATATTATTTTTAAAGCTAATTTGACTGGACTATGTACGTTTTAAGATTACGAATTTTTTAAGAAAAGTCTTTTTAATCTTACAAGACAATCATCCATTGTCAGGGTAGTAACATATTTTTGTTTATTTAAATTGGATGTAACTTGATTTTGGAATTTGGCATTCGTGTCCTTTTTCAAATTAAATTTATCCTTTGTGGTGCTAACGAAGATTAGTGTAAATAATACCTGTAGTAACTGTGGAATAAAATTCAAATTTGTGCAGAACTTATTATGAAGCAATTAATTATCAGCTGGCCTTGATTTAACAGAACCATAAAAAAACGCATGCTAATTTATGAGCTGGAGCATGTTGCTAAGTTTCGGACGTTTTTGAGAATCTGCTGTGACGTTGTGTCTGGAATATACATAAAAAGGTAGTGACAACATTTGCTCCTTACGATGCAAAACTGTAGTACAAAATTGTAGCAAAAAGATTTTACACTTGGGGTTGTCGCGTTAAGTTGCAAACCCGATTTAGATTTGGTATTAGAGTAGATACTTACGGTACACGGAACTTCAAAATTATACAATTAGGGGTAGTAGGTGTTACAAACTTAATTGACTCCGTTAATTCAGTTTATCTTTGGTAACAATCTTACTAACTTGTACCCTTTGGTGGAAAAATATTATGCTAATGGCTATTCATTGCAGCCATGATGTAAGAGAAATTGCGGTATAGCGTAACTTTCTTGCCGTCTACAAATGGCAATGCTATCATAACAGCACAAGCCTTTATTTCAATCCATCAATTTTTTTATTATCGCACTGCGTTTACAATTTACTGAATTATAAAGTTTTACTTTTCGACAGTGTACCTCAAGGTGTATGTACGTATTTGGTCATAAACAGTAGAAACACTTTTATAACACGTTGATCAATGCTCCTTGTCCAGGTGTATTGTGGTTAGTAGCTGTAAAACGATAGATAGATTGTTGAACTGTGTCGTGGATTGTGCAAGGCAAGATCGTATAAAAGCGGAGAAAGTTATGGGAGCACAGTTCGCAGTATGCGTAAAACGCGTAATCGAATTTAGGTACACAAATTCGCATTAAAAAAATGCTTCTAGTGTTACTGTTGAAGGAGACCATATACAACATTGCTGCAAAGTGCCAGATATTTAGAAAATAGCAATAAAGAAGGCGGATTTTCTTGCGCGCACATTAATCAATTCTTTTTTGGGGAAATATTGTAATGCAAACGTATTAAAAAATTTTTGACCACAATAAACTTTGGAACTACGTGTTTGTCCTTAGCCTGATCACTGTATTTGACAATATATAGGTTTTTGACGCTTAGTTAGTTATTTAAAATATAAAACCAAAAACCTTTAGTGAAAAGATTTTTTTTTGTTTTCAGATTACCTGCCAATCGAATGGTTTGCTTCGGTTTTCATTATCGCGTTTTGCTACATTATCCGATAAAAAATCCGTTAGTTTCATAACGAACAATTTATAGAAGCTATATGCTATATAACCCAAAAATGCCATTGAATTTACCAAGAAAAAGTAAGCAACTTATTTCTAATCGCTGAACGCTGATTATTGTGGACAATGCTAGTTATCACAGTATCTTACTGGAAAATTCTTTCTGCCCAAGAGTTGCTGTACAATCTACGCCCTTTGACCACAGAACATTATTAATTCAGTACCTACCTAACTCTTGGCTATATTTTGATATAACAGGAGGTGGGCCATTGTAACCACCTTTTTTGCTTCAGTAATCGCTTACCTTCCCCAAATACGCAAATTTAATATTCCTTATTTGATTCTATCCGGAAATGTCAAAAGTTGACAAGTTAGCGTGAAACCATAAAAAATAAATTCACGGGTTTTCAAAACTTTCTTGATAATATCAAAGCGGAGGATTCAGAACAAAGGAAAACAAAGAATAAGAATAAGAACAAGCTCGAAAAGAGTTCGAAGATATATTTTATTCGGTTTATTCTGCTGCAAAAATGATTGTTGATAAATTCATTTGTGAAACTTCCTTCAGTAGGTCAAATTCGATTAGGTCCAAATAAACCTATCTTTCAAAAAAACTACATTTGGCGGGATTATATCAGGTCCTCTTCCTAACAATTTTATTCACTGCAATTTTTCCTTGAATTTTTCAGTGTAACGTATATTCGAAACTTTCTAGATTCTGGGAGCCAGAAGAATGCACAAATTCAACTTCTTCATTATCTGATGAAGAGAAAAAATGTGAGGAACATTTAATATCAATAACGGTTTCGGTTCGGTTTTCGGTCATGAAAAAAAACCGTTTCAGTCCGGTTTTCGGTTCTTTTTCGGTCCGGTCCGGGTCCCTGGTTTAGGCATAAACCAATCTGTTGACCATAAAAGTTGAAGATCAAAAGCTTGGGACAGCCAACTGGCTCAAACATCATTTGATGTACTGGTGAAGAAGAGTCCTTCATCCCCTATTGACTCTCTCCCATCTCATTGTCACTTTATCTAAGGATTCAGGTCATTGGCTTCATGCCATTCCATCTTCTTCTCTGGGTTACAAGTTATCTATTATACAGAAGTCTCAGGATGGGAACAAAATTTGTCATCCCCGAATCTATCTGTATATGCGGAAAAGAAATTAATGAATAGGTTATCACGGTCTAAGGTGCTCCCTTCAAGAAGGTCGTATCCCTCGTCATATCATACTCAACGATGTAATGAAAAGAGCCTTCATTTCTGTTGGAAACCATGCTACTCTGGAACGCCACTGCATCTTTAGAGATGATGGAAAACGATCAGATGGATTGACAATGATCCAAAGCAGAAAAAGTCAAATTACAGAAATACTGAAAATTGACCGATCATTACCAAGTAATTAGGATACGAAACAATTGGCGGTTGGGGAAACCAATGCAAAATGTACTCAAATTACTTTGAAAAAAACTCGGGAGAACCAAAAATCAAGGAATATCTAAAGCAAAAGTATGAGTATAGCCATCCAGAAAGGGAACACAATCAAATTCACTCAATGATTTTTTAGATTTTTATAAATTTTTATTATTAGTTAACTACTAATACCTTTTTGTAACATTCTGCCAATAAATGGCCAGTCATTCAGAATATTACAAGAAAATGATAATAATATACACTCGACTGTCCTACAAGATTCCTACAACACTTGATTTTTGGAAACGTAAATAAACAAATAAAAATTTGGAGTCAACAAAATGGCTGCCTGCCGTGTTCTAAAATTCATTGAGAGATCCGAAAGGGAAAGGTCTTCGGTAACAAAGCTGGAGTTCGATTTTTACAGCACGAAAGCAGGAAGATTGACGAACAAGTTACGCCCTTGCGATGTTTAACGACCAGCTGAAACAATGTATGTTGATATTTTTGGAAGACATATAGCGTTCCTAAAAATTCGTGACATGATTTTTATTGTTACACAATTTGAAATGTTTTGTAGCTTTCCTTTTGCTTTCGTTGTCCCTTGTTAATTTAGTTCGTCAATTTGTGTGGGCTATGGCGGGGTTTTTGTCCCGAAGAAGGTTTCCGATTCGAAAGTGTGGCGAAACGTCCGTCTTTTTGACATGAAAAGACTTATAAACCACGTGTTTTAACATGTCTCTTCTATCAGTGTTGTCTTCTGGTTTTGATAATTGCTGAGGGCGCATGTTGAAAAAATGATATATGATTTTGATGGACGAATGCCTTATATTTTGAAAATGTTTGAAATTAAAAGATTGTGGTAAAAGAAGAATGGTATGCATTTTAAGTAAAAAATCTCCGGAGATCAAAGCTAATTATTTAACGCTGATATTTGTGTGGCATTTACCTACTTAACCTTTCGATTAAAGTTTCTGCGTAGAACAAAAAAAACTCTATCCATTTAAATCTGAACTTTAAGAACCTATTAATATTTAAATTGGGAGCATTACTTTGAATTAGTTATTTTTTTTCCAGACACGTTTCCTTAAAAACTGCGTTTCTGAATGTCTTCCGATCCTTCGCATGCGGCGTGTAATTCTCGTCTTGTTACTGAAATATTGTATGTTGGTCATGGTTAAAGTATGTCATGCTTACAAACGCGCGTGAAATGCATACAAATATATTCTGAGCGATGATGAAAAAAAAGGGAAACAAAATGAACGTTTACTTACTCTTTTCGTTTGTTGCTACTTGAATAAAAAGGATTAAGACTAGACACAGAAGGATCCCATTCCGAAACTCGCACCATCTCGGGGGTATCTGAAACAAATTAATAAGGTATTAGTACAATAATTTTTCCCTGGGGACTAATTAGAGAAACATTCAAAAAACAGGAACCAGAGCGTGAAGGAAACGTAATTCTGTTTATACATTTTCTACGTTCACTTAATTGTTTAAAGGGAAAACGAATGGTTTCGGGGCATTGTGTTAAATAAACATTTTTACAATAAGGTAAAAGTCGAAGTGAATGTTTTTTTTATAACTGTAATAAATAAAGGGAAATTATTCACGCTTTAATTAGATGACTTCTTCATCCGTATTGCCTTTTCTAATAATGAGCGTGATGAATATCTCTCTAGGGCAATTTGAAGCCTTCGGTCTTTGTGCACGTCAAGGTTAGTCGCGCTGAAAATTAAATACAAACTTCCAGTTTTCCACCCTTTCACTTTTCGATCGTGGAAAACTTGGCAAAAAATGTGCGCGAAATAATTACGGCGCCGTAACCTTCAATGTACCTGTTCGCTCACTTTCTTAAAATAAAACCAATTTGCATTCCGCTAACATGTGCAATAAATATTATTTTTGGTAACTACCATAACGGGAAGTCGATTACATTCTTAATTTGGCAACGGCTACGTTTTGCATACAAAAACCGGCGACCAAATTTTTAAAGAAGGAAAGTCGATACATTTTCTTTTGGCGTACAAGTTACGCTAAAAATTTAGCCACAAAGATACATTAAGTTTGACTCAGCTTGTATAAAATGTCTTAATTTTTGGAATAATCGTGATCCTGGCACCAACAGAAATAACGAGCCGCAATCCGAGCTGCTGAATTAGTCTTCCGAAACGGGAAAACTCCACTGTTTGGAATAATTTAAGACTTCCTTTCATATAGTGAGTTGGTGATTACGAAACCGAATATTTTGCTGTGGATTTGGTTTAAAAACGTCGTGACTAGATGATTTATAAAACGGCCACGAGTGAAAGTAAGTATGGACCCAATACTTAAAATTCGTAAGTTATGATTACAGTGGGTATTAGATAATTACACCTGCCTCTAATTGAAAAAAGTGTTTCGGTTATGTATTAATACTGGGCGGGAACGGTAATAATTTATTTAAATTTATGAGTTCTTCGCTTCACGAATTTATTCAGTGCTATATATAATATTCATATTTATCATAATAAGGCGCTGGTTACATATTTAGACATAACACCTGAATCGACTATCATGTAAAATGTAAATGGATTCCCATTGATTATGTACGGAAGCGCAGGACGGTGTGACCTTTTCAATATCATAATTTGCACCTGAAGATTCTAGTCTAGTAATTTCCAATTACTTTTTGTAATTAAGGCCTATATATTTTGTAATTATAACTAACATTTACTAATTTCTGTGGTAATAACGACAAATTAGTAGATGTAAGTTGTCAGATATAAAACAAAACTATAAGAAAACTAAGCACATTGCGGTATATGTCGAAATTGTGAGACACAAATCCATATAAGACTATCAGAAGATCTTTTTCGAGGGAGTGGTACCATATTATGATTCTTAACCAACTTCAAAATTAGCGCTAATTTAAATATCTTTGCCTAGCGTTCTCATTCGATAGAAAAAAGTACAATTGAATGCAGAAAACTGAACCTCAGTGAACAACCACGACGAATACAGACACAAAAAGACTTCCCTTTTCACTAATGAAGGAATTATTTTGTTGCAAAAATTGTTGTATGGTGTTCATCTTTACAATAGTTAATCCTTGGGTTCATGGATTGCTTTATAGAAATGAGTGTGAACACTATTTTTACTACTAGACAAAGAGAAATTTGTGTTGATGGGAAAATAATCAAATATCCAGCCCTTAATGATTTCGGATGTTATGTGTTGCTATGACAGTGATAGCCTAAAGAAAAACTAAATAATAAAGTTATAATAGTAATAATAAACCATTCATTTACATTCATGTAGTAACAGACACCTAGCCAGATAAACTATACAGGATGTTACATGACCGTACGTAAAAAAAATTGGCTGATAGAGGCAGTTTATCCAAATAAAGCTCAAGTGATTACAGTGAGGCCTTTGCATCCGGAAAGTGACTGTTTGGTGTGCGTTATGGTCTCGCGGTGTCATTGGTCCATTTTTTTAAGAATAACCTAGGATGACCAGTCGATCAATTCGGAGCCCTATGCCATGTGTGCGATTTTTTTTAGGAGAATTGAAGATAATCATGTGGAAGACACGCGGTTCCAGCATGGTGGGGCAACAAACCACACAACACTGGTAGTTAGAGCCTTATTGCAAAAGAAATTTTACGGGACGAGTAATTTCCAGATTGAAAATTACCTACCTCAAAAGTATCGAATCCTGTAAGAAGTTCCACATATAATGCATAGCAAGGTCCAAGCAAGCTCAAATTATTTCTGGAATAATAATATGCGGCTAAGGGTGACAGTGGGATATGGGATGAGATAATTTTTCGAAACCAAGATAAAGAAATGAAATGAATTAATCAATTACTCCTTAGAAAATCAAATTACTTGACTATCAAACTCATTGGCCCAATAATCAGCGTAATTAATAAACGGTCCTCTGCACGATGAGGTAAATTAACGCAACGAATAAGTGATGACCATAATTATGATGTTATTTGCATTACCCACACCGGCGGAAAATTCTAATGATTTGGTTACCAATTTCCTCCAGTCGCTTCGGCCGAAACACATTCACGCATTATACGGAAGCATCTGAGTTGCATCATCGACTTACTTCCGTGTCGGGTCGTCATTTTAAATTATTAAAGCATAAATAAAGTGAAAAATCCATTTAATTAATGAGACTTTTACGGCGGTCCTTGATGGGACATACGCTAAACGTTTTGTTTATTCCTTTCTAACAACCTTCCGAACGCCGAATGATCCTTGATTTAGTTTTTTTTTCATCGCCGCTTTAGCCCCCCGGCCACGAAACAGGCTAATGAGTCAAATATATGTAAATGCCGTTGGCTTATTGTTTAATTGTTTTCTCCGGCCGACAATTAAATTGGCAAAACAATTGCCGAGTTTCTCAAATTGCGACACTATAACCGCGTACGTTAATTACTTACAACCTGCCTTTTTTGGCGGCCGGCCGGTTGCTTAAAAGTAGGTATTGCTTCCATAGAAGCGGCTGTTATGAAAGTGTGTACAAAATGGATGAAAAGGTTCCCGGAAGAATGGGCATCGGAATTTGACTAATTACACCGTCGGTTGTTAATTACTATAAGGAGGACGAGGTTTGCGTATTGGATTAGAATGTTCTTGAAAGTGGTCTCAATTTGTTAATGGAACTTAGGTAATTGACAAATCTCCGTCACTGTTTTTGAAAGGGAAGAATGTTCAGAAATATTTGCAATAATCGTGAAATAAATATGTACTGCACATTACTAAACGACATCGGCACCATCTTGTATCTCAAAGAAGGTTAATGCCTCGTTTAATGCTTTTCAAGAATCAAGAACGATGTCGTATTAAATACTAGGCTTTTACTGAGAACGAGGAAAATAAAAACTTGTTTCATCGTTACAACAAGGATTAAGGGCCATATCATAGGTGAACTTGGTGGATAAATTTATACAAAACCGTTACTCCACGCCATCTTCTATATATATTTTTTTGCAAATTTCAGTTTAAAAATGAACTCATTGATAGCTAGGTGTTTTATAAGTACTTTAATGGGCAGAATCCTTTAAACTATAAGTTGTGTTATCTTCAAGATTTTTTATAAGCATATTGTATCCGAATGCGTTTTTTATTAATATTTTATTATGAGAGAAAAATGTTTCTCAGAGATTGGCGTAAGTAGTAACCATGGTAATAGAATCAACAACATTTAGTACAAAAAAGGAACCAGCGTAGTGTATAAAGGACGTTGCCATTGACTTTATAAGAAACAATGAATTTTATGGATAACTTAAGAAACGAGATTAAATGAATCTTAGAAACGTCAGTCCTCTATTTGTCCTGTTTAACAATCCGATTCCTGAAATGACTATGAAATGTGATCAAACTCAGCTATAGAGTGCCAGAAATAGCTATTGGTGCCATAATCCTGACGGGTCAAGGAATTAATCTTCACGTGCTTTTTTGCGATGCCTTGAATCTTGGACTCGGAACCTGTCTCAAAATGTTTAATGTTAATTTGTAACAGTAGCTATAAAATTGAATCTACTTTTCTTCGAAAGTTTGGTAGTGTAAGTATAAGAAAAAATAAGCGAGCGACTAAGTCACATAAGTTTTGTTGTTCTACACGAAATTTATGGATTTAGTATTGTTTGATGATAAACAACAGAGTTAGCGAGTTTTAAACAGTACTAAGTCGCAGTAACATTGCGAGGTAAACTGTGATAAGTGGACTTAGTATCAATAGTTGTATTGTTTTGATGGACTTAGTACATTAAGGAATATGTTTCAGGTTTTTTAGCGCATTTTTTAAGAATAAAAAAAATGTGCTATTGTTTGCGTTTTGTCCGTCTGTCCGTCCGGACCAACTTCTGCCGTTTCGAACTACTTCTAGAGTCCAGGAATGTTTGCAGTAGGTAGCCATATACTTCGAATGTGTTTCAAATGACCATCAAATTTCGCTGTCTTAAAGGCCCCCCCCCCTCCCTTCAATTATTTCCTGAGATGGGAGTGGAACTGGTTTTATCCTTCATGGTGCCCTAATAAAAGGTCTCAACGAATGGAATTAATTTCTATCAACCATAGTCCTACTCCTCGACTTCTTATCGTGATCTCTTATATCTCCAGGACGGATTATCGGAAGAGGGGACTCACAAAGAGCGATTGGAACATCTGCAAGAAGTATATCCATTGGTGATGTCAAAACTTTAAGAGCGAATATCTCGAAAACGGTTTTGTCGGAGGAACGTATCTACTCTCAAAGGCAAAATCTGCAGAATGGAGTATCGGAGAATTTTGAATGTATGCCAGGCGGTCTTTAAATGTTTGTGTGTAAAGAGCCTCTTCCCCTTATAACCCAACAATTTACTA